CTAAGCACAGTAGTATATCCAGATGTACGCATGTAAAATCTGGAACGAATTACCTCCTTCACCGTTATCTTAATTTGGAGTTACAGCTAACATTTGAACCGCATTTTCAATTTTCACTTATATACACTTTCGTCTGCGGAGTCGTCATGCGTAAGAAGCCGGACAATGAAGCTCCATGTTGTACTGAGCATCATGACGACCGCAGTCATCGCACGGATGGGATAGAGAGCAACTACCGCTACTAGGGTCTGAGGGACACTAAACACACTAAAGTCGAGGACAAAACTGATGAGCAAATTACAAGCACACAATTCAAACTTATGTGCAACGTCAAAGACGACCGTGCAGTATTAAACCAAAGGGAGTTGTTCTTAGACCAAGGGCTGGCCCGGTCTTGGAATTCGCTGCCAACTAAGATACCGACTGCCGGCACACGCTTGTCTGAAAGAAAATTTGCATTTATATTTTTCTGATGGAGATCGTCTCTCAAAGTACGATTGCTTCAATTCAATTCAATTATTTTTATTAAAGACCCGTGAGGGTCCCATCAAAGCAAGTAAAAATAAATTTACATGCGAATTTTAGACGAGGTAGGCAAATCTGTACAAAGTGCAATACATAGTTTTTGAGATTAGAAGTCCGTTAAGCAAAATGAAAATGAAAAAACGAGGGGTGAAAAAAAGCTCCAAAGGAAAATTTAAAAATGACTGTAGTAATTTAACAGGAGAAAAAAACCCCCTCAGAAAAATAGCATCAGAAAAATACAGGGAGGACTGGCCTGCTTGTGGCGGTACAGAATGGAATATAGTCCGACATCAACATGGCCGAAATAAATGTCAGCTGTATATGGCATTGTGTAACGGATTTCATAAAATGGTCCGTAGGCGGGTCGGTCAGGACTGGCCTGTATCGCCTTGAATAAGAAAAATAAGTGGCGAAATTAAAAACCAGTCTCGAGCTGATAGGATCCCAGATGCGGTCGGTTTCATTCAACCGAGTCCATCCGAGCATGGGGGGAGATGCGACCAGACTACTAGTATATGGCGAATATAGAAGGCTTTGTCAAGACCGCCGATGGAGCGCATTCTGAAGGGCACGATGACAACCAGTCTCGAGGCGACAAGAACCCAGATGCGGTCTGTTACATTCATCAGAGTCCATCCGAGGATAGGGCAAAGGAGATGCGACCAGATTACTAGTATATGGCGAATATAGAAGGCTTCGCCAAGAGCGTCGATGGAGCGCATTCAGTGAGGGCATCATGAAGATAAGTCCCGAGGCGATAGGAACCCAGATGCGGTTGGTTACATTCATCCGAGTCCAACCGAGGATGGGGTAAGGGAGATGTGACCAGACTACTAGTATATGGCGAATACAGAATTTTTCGCCAAGAGCATCGATGGTGCGCATTCTGTGAGGGCACGATGCATGAACTGAAAAATTGGAATAATTAACATTTCTGGTGAGGGATCTTAGGTAGCGAGACTACTCATAAAGG